AATCATAATCCTTAAATAATCGAAAGAAAAGACCTGATTACACCAAGTCAGTCTAATCTACATCCTAGCAACTGATGACTTCATGCAGGAGAAAGCTAATTATGTGAAAGAATTTGTCTTGTTTGCCCAAAAAATCTTTATTCCTTATGAAGTATTAATCATTGATTTCTTATCTATCAGATTATTATATAACTTATCAATTTAATCAAAGTCATTTTATTTACCCACTTGTTAAGAATATTAACTTTGTGCTCAAAATTAAATACCGATAGGAGGATTTCTTTCTAGTATTATTCACTTAACTCCAGTACTACCCGCCCCCCCCCCAAAAAAATACCACCGACTATTCTGGTTCTCTTTTCCCGAATTAGATTAAAATTAGCAAAAGAACAAAACGTTGAAACGTTTAAATCTTTTAAAGGTCTTTTTAGTTCGTTTTTTTTTTATAAAATAAACTCTTGTCCGGTTCTTTCTGTTTAACCCTTCTCTGTAATCACAGTGATCTAATTATTTATTTAATTGTTTTGGGAATTAGTGAAATGTGTGTGTGGGGGGGGGTAAGGGTAGGGATGGGGGGGGGGGGTAACAGTCAACTAGAATGATATGCGATTAACATCCTCTTCTCTCAGGTTTTTTTCTTCTTCTTTTTGGCTTTTTTTCTTTTCATCCTCTCCACCATTATGTTGATATGTTGATAAGATTCAATTCGTTTCTCTCTTTGTCTCTGCTTCTTGTTAAACAAAAACAAAAAAAATTAAATCATAATTCCCATCCATATGTTGTGATCATCAATGAGAAACTACTATTCAGCGCATTGATTTGGATCCATCCAGATCAGCCACAAAAAATCTCACACACAACTGACTGGCTAGATAGCTGAACTAACTAACTGACTAACCAACTAACTTACTAACTTGAACAACTAACTTATATCTTATCATTAAGATTTATCTCTTGTTAACACGAGAAATAAAATTACCTAAATTAGACAGGTACATACTACTATTTACTACTAAGGCGGTTTCAAGGATTAATGTATTCATTATAATCTATTTATATCAGAGGAAATCTTCCCATGATATAAAACTAGGCGAAATCTTCTCTTGTTAATTTCCTGAGTAATTAATAGCGCAACAGATGTTCCTTATTCAAAGTGTGCACACCATTTCATAATACAATATATATATATATATATATATATATATATTTTTATATATATATATATATATATATATATATATATATATATATATATCACTTAAACATACGTTCTGAACATGTGCTAGAAAAATTTCCTTTTGTATATATTGATTGAGTAAAAGTTAATTTCTTGATTTAATCCAGAAATTTCTATCTCTTTATTCTATAAAGAAAAAAATAATAAGGAATTATTGGTAACTTATGCATTCGAATGGTGTAGCAACATTGATGCCTGTCAATTAATTGAATAAATTGAACATTGAACCAGTTTATGCGTTACAACAGTTTGGTACAAGTCAATCAATTAAGAGAAAATTTTGTGTGTATTTTCATCATTGAAGTACATCAATAGTCTCGAAATTTATACTTCCTTGTCGATGTAAAATGCTGAAAATTCCATACCTGTACCAGGAAACGGTGTGGAATCAAGCTGTAATCACAAAAATTTAAAAATAAAAGTAAATCTTTGTTGGAATAGTGCTGTTTCAACGACTTAACTCATCATGGCATTCCCTCAGATTATACTCGGCTTGAATTTTGTGTAATTTCACTATATTCTTAGGAGCTACGGTATCTAGGCACGGGGTGACATCCTATTAGAGGGGAATACTACAGATGTAGACAGTAGTGGTAAAATAATCATCCGATTGAAGAGTTGAATAAGTTCCCAGACTATTCCCAAGTTTATATGCTCGGAAGGAAGTATATAACCCTTCGTCAATGGTATTTTTCCTGTATTTATTTATGAGATAGGCAGAGAGCATTCCACGGTCGCTATGGAAAATCTATTACTAGCATAGGTGGAACAAGGATTGTTCATGACAGAACACAAGGTCAAACATGTTATCGCCATAGGTAGTTGTCTCGACGCATTGCTTCATCCATGTTAATCAACAGTGCCAAGCATTTTGCCGAAAAGTTGTGTGCCGGAGCCATTTAACTTGACTCTTGGAAAATTAGAATTCCCAAAAATCGATATAGCTACCAAGTTTTCAGGGTTTAAACCAGACCACTGACTAAGCCAATATCTCAAAGTCTTGTTCACTAACTTTTGGGGGTTGAATTTCTAATAAATTATACTAGATATTAAGAAGAAAAAGAAGATCTAACCAGATTTAAGTGAAACCATGATCTGGAAAAGTTGAGAGTTCAACTCATTAATGTTTTCTTCAATTTTTGTTCTCCACATCTATGAAGTGCACTTCGTCCTATCTTTATTTTATTTATTTCTTACATTTTATTCTTTTACGTTCCCAGTGGAACATAAGGCTTCAGGCTAGAGCTTTGAAGTTTCCGTAGCAGTGATATTTTGTTTTTACGAGGTGGGGTTGCTGGCCTTACTCCCAACCTTGCTTCTTTACCGGTCTTATTACCGGCTTTGCAAAATTTAGGAGTACGTCAGCCAGGGATCGTTGACGAGTATTCTACTGCTGAACTAAATGTATATACTCCCTGGCCAGTGATGGTCTTCCCGCTGATAACAGAACCCTGTATCGATTGCTTTGAAATGCCATAGTATCATCATCGCTTGCTGAAATGCAGGTAAATCTAGCTGACGATTCCCAAATAGGACAAAACGCATGTTCTGTATCCTGCTGCTATCTACCACCAAACAAGTAACTACAAGTTAGTAACATCCAAACATCCTTTCAAGAATCCTCAGGAAAGAATACATTTTTCTACTAAGAGGTATATTTAATTTCCATGTTAGAGAAATAAAGTTGGTAAATTATTGTGGGAGAATCTGAAATCATGACAGGTTACATAATTTTCACTTGAAACGAAGTAGAAACACCTATACTGTGGTGTATATATATGCAAATACAGGGAGAAATGGCATCATGATGAATACTTGCAAATAAGACTAACTTAAGTCAAACAGAAAAGGGGTTATCGACAAAGTTAGCAAGAAAGAAGATGCTAATTCACTGCACCCTCATTATCATCATCCATCCGAAGATAGTTGACTTTGTTTGATAAGCCCTAAGAGTGGTTTTAAAAGTGTTGTTTTCAGCTATGAAAATAGCACTAATCAAGACCTAACAACTGAAAGCCTCATCAGAATAAACTAAGAATTACCAGATCTCCAAGAGAATCGATCCTTTACATCAAGAATAAAAGCAGTTTGGCTCTTGTAAATTTAAATTAAGATTATGAATTAACTTCAGGAATAGAACTACTGAAAATCAGGGGAAAGATGTTTCATTCTTGTACGAGGTTCCTCATCAGTACGCATCCATGCCCTAGCAGCGATCGAACCCAGGGACTTTAGGTTGAAAAGGTGACCTTGTATACCATTTAGTCATTGAAACGGAATCAGACGAAGAATCAATCTGTACACTGAGTTAAAGCCATTCCGATTGTTACTTAGAATATAAGCTGGTTGAAGAGGACTGTAAACCTAATTGATAAAAATGTAAAAAAAATTGTGAAAAATAGAAAGGTTTCCAAAGACGAACAGAATTATTGAGCAGGTTTGACTGCTGAGTAAGAAACTGTAAGTATATTACATCAAATTTTCCTTTTAGTGATTTCGTGATATTTCCTTCGTATTCGTATTTCTTTCTAATTCATGATAACAAACGTGGAATTATTTCACGATAAAAATATATCAAGTACGAATTGTTATAAGTGAATGACTGCAAAATACGTTAAATAATTCTATAATTTAGTTCAAATTTATCAGTGAAAAATTTCACGATTCACTTATCTCACTTGTTTACTGACTAGCTGGTTTCAACATAGAACTTGCAGCAGTTTGAGTTACCACACCCCATGTAACACACAAGGACGGATAGAAGAAAGGAAAAAAGGAGATGCAAAGTACTATAATAAGCAGATATTTGAGGGGGAAGGAAATAACAGTTTATTGGATATATGAGGTCACAAAGTGTGAGTGCACCTGCGTCACTTATAAAGGTCTTAAGCTCTATCACCAATATTCTCCAGTTGTTGGTTCTTAGGATGCTAAGGACCTCAACCAGGAAACCTATACTCCCCTAGGTGGCTCGAACTAACTTTCAAAGTTCTCAGAAACTGATTCCGAGTGTTGGTTTGATCGCCACTAGTTCCCTTCTAACCTTATCATAAGTCAGCTAACATTATCTGTCGAGAAAGGCGGTGGCTAGGCATAAGTAACACATATCCTAGCCACCTCACTCAAGGTAGCTTCACAACCTCATCGACAGATTTCCCCTCTTAATCTCACACTCTACACTCATTAAATTATACAACCAAACAGGGGAGATGGGACGCAGACACCTATGATCAAAGATAACTAAACTTTATGAATTATTATAACCTTATAACTTTGTTGATTCACTCACAAATTTCAACACAGTATACAATATTATTTCCTAGAATGCTAATCATTTAGAACTCTTATCATGGGATTAACCTAATCAAAAGTAATTCCTGAGTTTCTTATAATTCTTCAATTTCGACAGAGTAAAACTTCAACTTAACCGATAATTTAGTTCCAGGTATACCTTAAACGTTTCTAGGTTAGTATGTGATTGAATTAATGACATAAAACTTAACAAAACTTTCACTAATTTAATTATATCTACTCTTGTTAGATGAATCCATCATATATGTGTGTGGTTTATCGATCATCTAATTGCATGAATCGTTTATATAAATACATACATATTTACAAGTAGAATATGATTGGTTAAAAATATCATAGAAAGACAGTATATGAGATTTACTTGTATGAACCAATCAGTATTCTACGCGTGCGGACATATCAACCAATTGTTTACCTCCTATTGTCGTTGAAGGAGAAAAGAATTATGAAAGGTAGGGGTTGACAATAGAAGTTGATATTTTTCTAAGCGTTGTCTAAACTAACCAATAGACGAATGAATCTATTCAATAAATGAAATGTATATCTACTACTTAAAAATTAAGACAGATTACGGGTAGGAGGTGGTAATTTCCAGTTGGATAAGAGCAGTTGATGTTGAATATAGGGTGGAGTGATCCACTGAAAGAAAAACGAATAAGTGAGAGAAAAAGTTGATTGTCCTAACAAAAAAAAAAAGAAATTAGAAGAGCCACAGAAGTGGCACTTTCATAGTTTTCGAAATACACTTATATATCTCTTGTGACTACTAACTGGAGAACTATCAAGCACAACCTCTTGAATTTAGAGAAGGTACTCAGATTCCTCGATTACCGGTGGTTATATCTCTGTACACCCGATTGACTTAATTTTTATCCTGAAAACTACTACTTAAGATTTATCATTGACGACCTCTTGACGATTTGGCTTTCAATACAAAGAAGGACAAAGTTGTTCAAAGTGAAGTGATCCAAGTATAACAGAACTCTTAATTCAGACTATTACAATAATAATAATAATCATTCTAGAGGGATTAAAAAAATAATAATAATAACGGAATCTTATTTCTCCCTCGAACAATTACATACATACACAGTCTAGTGTTTCCAATTCTCAAGGCAGACGAAGAACAAGAGGAGAAAAAAAACTTTTTCAACAAGATAACAACTTAAAACATCATCTTCAGTGATATATCAACTTCATCACCACTCCAACACAAAGTACTAAAATACATATCCGTCAATCGAACAAGGAAGTATACTTTTTCTGTGTGTGTGTGTGTTTTACAACCAACAGAAGGACGACGACTCCGTCATCATCATCATCAACAGTAACAGCAACACCAGCAACGGAAAAAAAAAGAAGTGGAAAAGAAAGAGTAAGATTATAATAATCATAACAACAATAATTATCATTTGAAACAATTCAAGTGATTTCAGTTCAAGTACTTTTCATTCGCCTATTCATCATCACTACCGTCACAGTCATCCATCAAGTCATCATAAGAACACGAAGAAGAAAAGAAGAAAAAAGACAAAAGCAGAGAGATTCGTTGTTATCTTTGTGTGATTTTTGAAGTGTACTTTAGTTACTCCCTCTCTACATACATACATACCCACTCTTGGCTAGTATTCAACAACTTCACAGAGTGTGATAATTTCTTCAAAAATCAAATATATCATCTTCCCACGTGGATTACAAGAGAAGGAAAAAAGTTGAGGACTGGAAGTTGTATTGCGAACACGGTACTCGACAAGTATCATCCTCTAATTGTCAGAATCAGAATCATCTTGAAAGTGAGTGTACGTGTGTGTGTGTTCGTGTTATTGTAACTGATTTCCTGTTGACGAACGAATCAATCCCAAGACTTGAAGAATTAGAAGAAGTAGAACCTCTTGAAATAAAAAAGAAGTCATTATGGACACACAACTATTGTAAGTTCTAATATATACATTTTTTGTAATGATAATAATAAACCATTTATTGTTTTCGTTCATTTCACCTGTATTAAATGTGAATGTGTATCGTTTATGTAGTGGACTGTATCGATTGTTTCACACTTTATAATATACTATGCTTCTGCTAGCTTATGCTTAGTGATATATGGATGACTAGTTAATTCAAGCTACTTACCTGAACTTACCTAAAGACCATAAACAAGATACTGTTGGGTAAAGAGTAGGCTAGTTAGTATAACTGAAGGTTTTCGGCGGTAGTCAACAGATTCTTCCACGTATCCTATTTTCATACATCTGTACATTCACCATTTCGTCGTATAGGATTGTTATTACTATTATTAGTATTATAGTTTTTATTATTATTACTGAACTACTGATGGAACACGAACCCGCAATTGAGATTTTGTGCGTCGGTGACATGGCGGTTAGGACGCTCGCCGACCGTGCACATAGCCCGGGTTTCGATCCCCGGCCACTGACGCACTCCTTTACCTCGTTAAGCCAGTAATAAAGGTAGCAAAGAGGGAAGGTTGGGCATGAGGCTAGCAACCCCATCCTGTTAAAATAATTACCATTGCTACAGAAAATTCAGATCTCTAGCTTGAATCCCTATGTTCCACTGGGGAACGTGAAGGAAAAAAACAAATTTAACTGTCCTCCGTGTATGTTTTATTGCATGAGCCATGTGTGTTACAGATCATGGTCTTCTTCTAATGTACAACAACCTTTACAACCTAAGATGGGAACAGAAATTAACTTAAATATCTTTCATCTGTGAATCGGTAGGGAATTAGCAGATAGACTTAGTCAATGAGTTATGAAAAAAGATAATGAATTGTCCATTTATTTGATGTAACACAGTGGATGAGGTTTTGAGCACAATTTGTTGTTCACAATCATGTTTTCCTAATCCCAATAATAATTTTTCCTTCACGTTCCCCAGTGGAACATAGGGCTTCAAGCTAGTGGCTTGAAGTTTATGTAGTAGTGGTGATTATTTTTACAAGATGAGATTGCTAGCCTCATGCCCACCCAACCTTCCCTCTTTACCAGCATTATTTCTGGCTTAGCGAGGTAAAGGAGTTCGTCCGCCGGGGATCGAACTCCGGACCATGTGCATGGTCGGCGAGCATCATTTACCCTAGGTGTAGTTTAAACAAGGGAAAATAGACAAAGTTCAAATGCTCAACTAACATTGTAATTCTTGGTTTTATAGACAGTTGATATACTTTTACGACAAAACTCTACTATTAGTGATTAACAGCCTACATATTCTGTGGATAACTTGTGAACTAGCTCAATGTCCAATGTAGTAATGACTAAAAACAAATTAAGACTTGAACCATAGGATTCCACGAATTTTGAACTGAACTATATTATGCTCATTCGAATGATTCTGACTACCGCTTGAATAAAACATAAACATAGGTATTATAATCATTGTTATGCTGAAAAACCTGGTGTGTATATGTCAGTGGTTCAGTGATAAGATGCTTACTAGCCATGCAAGTGGTACGGGTTTGATTTCTAATCAACTTACTAGCCTGTAGTAAAAGAGAGAAGACCGGGTGTGTGAGGCTGGCAACTTCACCCCTTCAGAAAATACCACTGCTAGCAAGCAAAAGGCTTCAAGGCCTATGTTCGATTCGGAAGGCAATGACAAGGAGGTTTTCCGATCAGATAGCCTAAAATTGGCTTACTGAATTTTATGCGATGGTAGCTCAGAATTCATAAGAAATGCAGAATGGTAAAAAGCATCGAACTAGTGCTCTAAAAGATTCTTTCATGACAGCGTTATTACTGTCAGTCTGGTAATCTTGAAGGTAATAGGAGTAACTAACACCTATAATGAAAACTTAAGAAAAGAACTGATTTAGTGACTATAAATGGACTGAATGCATGCATCATTCCAGTTTTGTTTTAATAATTTTTAAGTTTGTAAATTCTTTAGTGTTAAATTTGACGGTAGTGACGGTAACAACTTTAGTTTATCGTATTCTACACATTTATACTTCTTTCAAGTATACTGTAAATCAGTTAGATTCCAAAACCGGAGTTAGCAGTGAGATTATATCTCAAAGGGGTAACATATTGAAATTTGAACATAACATACTCGAAAGCGTAAGCTAGTATAGTTTCGAACGGCAGATTATGATTAGTGTGAAATGTCTATTATCGATGTTCAAAGATTTATTTCATTTTATGTCGATTCATTATGAACATTAGATCATGGTTTTCTCATGAAATCATAGCGAAATTCAGACAGACAAGAAACATTTATTTCCTTGTATATACACCCACTCTTATCCTCTGTAAATCTGATAAAATCGTAAATATCTAGTACTAATCACTGTTAGTAATGCATGTTGCCTTTTCAATGAATTCAAACGATAATTGATAATCGATTACGTAAAACAGCAAACAACGGAATTCTTACGTACTCCTCCTTCACTTTAAGATAGTATGTCCATGAGTCGAACCTTGCTCCAGTTACTTCAACTTTTAACAATCGGGTAGCACCATCGGTCCTTACACAATGAGTGTGACTCATAGACTAACTAATACATGAGAAAAAAAATTCGATTCTGGGTACCTGAGTTCCAACTGACTAGGTAATAAGGGTTAGACTCCTTGCAAATTCATCGTCAGACATTTCTGAAAAGTATCAAACTTTGACTGGACAGCAGTGCTTATTGGTCATTTATTTCCAAATGCTTTTCTAGTTTATGTCACTTAGTGACGAAGTGATATTTGTATTTGCTTAATGGTGAGTCGGTGGCACAGCGGTTAGGACGCTCACTGACCATGCAAATGGTCCAGGATTCGATCCTCGGTAGACTCACGCCTGATATCAGTGGTCGGCCTGCTAAATTTGGGCTAACGATATCACATGCTGAAAATTTCATACTTGTACCTAAATACTGTGTGGAATCAAGCTATAACAAAATAAATAAATGAATAATAAATAGGCATTAACTACAGTTATATTTATATTTTATTATATTTTATTCCTTTACCTTCCGAGTGGAATAAGAACTTCAAGATTGAGCTTTGAAGTTTCAGCGGTTGTTGTGTTGTCTTTCATGGGGGTTAAGTTGGTCGATTCACACTCAGTCTGCGCTTTTTTATTACCAGGCTTACTACTGGCTATGGTAGACTTAGGAGTGCGCTGGCCAGGAGTCGAACCTCAGACTAAGTTCGTAGAGTTGGCGGAGATTTTACTGCTAAACCACCAACACAAACATCTCTAGATATATTTTTTTGCATATTATATGTCTAGGATTCAATGAAATGTTTATCACTCTTTTTAATTTCTATCAATCTTTACAATCTTTTTGCAACAGAGCTCAAAGTTTCAATTTAAATGAAGTAACTAGTAGTCAAACAAATAATCTAAAATTATCTTCAGAACATCTTAATGAATTATCGCCTCAAACAAACGATTCCAGTGGATTTACATCTCATCGTTCAATGAATAATTATAGTAGTAATAATCGTATGAGTGCATTATTTTGGTCTGGTCAACAATCAAATCAACTGTTAGATGAAAATTCACCAATAATTAGCAATAACAGTAATAATAGTAATAACAACAATAATAATTTAAGTATTGGACCAGGTAGTGTATTTGGAGGCAATTCTTCTAATTCTGTCGATATGAATCCAATTGAATCTAGTGTATTGAATTCAGTAAATGCTGTATCCGCTGCTTCATGGTATGGTGTGGCGGCAGCAGCGGCCGCTGCGAATGATCCACGTTTAAACAATGAATACAATGAATATGGTTAGTTTATTTATCTGTTCATATTTCACTTTATGTATTTGTGCTGTTTTTGATTTTAAAAAAAAGTAATACAGGACTTTTTCCCATTCCTTGAGTTTAAAGTGAGATTTAGGACTTGAAGCCTTAAAGTTTGAGTAGGCGTAGTATTGTTTCTCAACGGGATGGGGATTGTTAGCCTCACAACCAACCTTAACGCTTTTCCGGGCTAACTATTGGGGAGGAATCAAACCAACTTGACGAATGTCCTACAGTTGAACACATGTAAAATATAACAGTTACATTATTTAACAGCCATGTTCATTTTTATTCATTTATTAACAATTCATTCTTATTACATTAAAAGTGTTGACACCACATAAGTCTTCGTACTTTAGCAACTAATGCATGAGTTAAACTTGTAACCTGGTAAATCAAAATTAAAACTTTCGGGTACTGATTGAGTTCTAGTGGGAAGCCGTGACTAGTAGGCTACAGCAGGTTGGGCGTGAGCATAAAAATTTTCAAGTTTGAATTTTTTATCAATATTTTTAAAAAAAAAAAAAAAAAAAAAAAAAAATTAAAAAAAAAAAAATAAAAATTAAAAATTAAGAAAAAACAGCGTAGTATTTCATTTCAAACAATGCACCACAGGATTTGAAATACAAAGTTGATGTGTGGTAGAAGATGAGAACAACAGTGTAATAGTAACGAGGAAAGGAAAACAAAAACTAATGAGACTATTTGTTAGAGTGCCGCAGTAAGTTTATCGTGTCATACCAAACGGATTTCTCATCACTTAACAGCTGTGCCAGATATGGTATTGTGGAGTTTTTGTATTTGGTAGTCCTAGCATATAGCCTCCCATAGCTGCTTCTAGTTCTACCAGATGAAATGCAAGGAGATAGATGCGTATAGAGAGGATGCTCAGGGTCCGACAATAATGTATTCGCTAGTTTCTTACATGACATAATATGTCTATCTACAATAGTGTTCACCAGTTGGTTTAACGATATCCCACTAACAGCTTTTAGTGCCCTTCTCAGCGAAGCAAAGTCTTTCTTAAGTAGTCCAGGAAAGATTAATGGGGAGCAGTAAAGGAGGATGGGTAGAATACAAGAATTGACAAACTGAGAAAGCAAAGACTGCTTTATACCAGACTGCTTAAATTTCCTAATGTAGAACGTTAAGCGAAACATCTTTCTAGTAACTAGCAAGATGTGGGAAGACCAGGAAAGATCGGTGGAAAAGCTCAGCCCAAGGTACTTGACATTAGATGTATTTTCAACCTCTGTGCCGTCAATGAGAGTGGGGCCATGTGAGCTAACTAAATACTCGCCGAGGACATTGGCTAGTGGTGACAATATGTCGTCAATCAGCAAGCCATTAGATCGGGTCTCAGTGACTGCTTAATGGTCTACGAGATCGCCTTGTAACCGGGTTGGAACCCCAGTGGATTCGTACTGATGAAGAGTCCCAAACTAGGGCGACACAGCTGGCTGTCCAGTAATCCAGTAGTGCAGGTTTTCCAATGGTTCTCTAACTGATGTCAGCTCATTATGAAAGCATCCAACCATTCACCGTTATGAGTAAATTAGGATAAAGAAATAAAAACAGTATTTTTAAATTTTGCGTAACAAGGGACTTAAATGATTTCAAGGTGAGATTCATGAAGAACTGAAATAACCTAAAGAACTACTGACAAACAGAGAGTTCTAGACGGTCTTTTCTGCATGGTCTAGGATTAGTCAGCAATGTACAGTTACGACCTACTTTACAAGGATCAAAGATGCGATACCGATAGTTGACAGAGGTTAAATATTATGCTTTAATGATTCTATGCAAGTAAATGAATGTGTTCAGTCCATAGGTTCGATTCTTGGAAAATTGAATGCACCTTGATTTTTCTGTAGTTCTCAAACTGATTTCGGACCATGACATTCTACTGAGTAATTATTAACACAAAATTGGACTGACACGGCCGCAGTACATTCATATTCATTAGCAAACATAGTTTCGTTTCAACCTTTTTTTTGACTTTTGAATGTAAAGATTTGACCTGGAACATGACGTAGGCAGTCAGATGTTAACTTTCACACCTGAATATATTGTGTATATAAGAAATGAAGAATAAATAGTCTATTTGTAAATAGTAACTCAGCTAAATCATTTAACTAATTTATTTTAACATCTTGTTAGTGAATACTATCTCTACTGATTGACAATAGACTTTATGAATGCATCACAGCAATAATTATGTTCATTTTCTTAACTGAAAAAAACACACCAAAAGACTACAACAATTAAGTTTTTGAGGGGCGGGAGAGGTAAGACAACCCCCCCCCTCGGTTCATTTAGCACACTGTTGAAAGAAACACTTATGCATTGACTTGCGTTCGTAAGAATTTTTTTATTGTCTGAGCTAATAGTTTAACCCGCATTAGTTTTTTTGTTATTTTCGATTGTGCTTCAAATCTTTACTGGTATATTAATGAGTAAATAAATCCACTAGCAGGATCAAATGCACATTTCATTTCATCAATACCTTTTATTATAAAGGATGATTAAGCCAACTATCTATTATATATATATTAAGCCTTTTACAATTAATATCCCGCATTTTTTAAAGTTCACATTCCAATCCTGATTAAAATTGATATCATGATCGGATAGATTATCATAAAGGGAGTATTACATAATACACACATATTATTATTCCCTTGGAGTGCGAGTGGAAGATAGGGCTTCAGTAGGACATCTCTATTTTGTCATGTTTTCTTCAGTCCTCTTTAGTTGTACCCACGATCGCCATCATATGATCTTCTTCATGTCACCCTTTGACCTAAGCCCCACTCACCCCTTCCCATTCGGGTTCCAATCGAGAGATTGTCTGGAGCATGATATCACTCAATGGTTTCTTCAGTGTCTGTCTGTTCACAATCGCCATTTTCTTTGTGATATTTGTTGGGCCATAGGTTCTTGATAGGTTCGTCCTCAGAGTTTCTTGTTGCTAATGCTTTCTGGCTATTTTGATCTTCTGTATGCAGTCAGAGAAGATTGTTGTTGATAAGAGTCTGAGGTAGCCTGTTAAGAATGTTTAACTTGACCCACCAAGTTTATGACTTATATCAAATAACTGATTGGTGCAATACAATACACATCAGAAATACATATGATAGTAGTAGAGCAGAGTAGAGAGATAAACATTAACAATTATTAACTGAATGCAAAATATCAAAATTGTGATCAGAATAATTTTTAATTTATTTTTGTTCCCTTACTTTCCCAGTGGAACACGGGGTTTCAAGCTAGAGCTTTTTGAAGTTTCGTTAGCAATGTTATTTATTTTTACAGGAGGGGGTTATTAGACTCAGGCCCAACCTTCCCTCTTTACCAATCTTATTCCTAGCTTAGCGAGGTAAAGAAGTGAGTTGGCGGCCGGGGATTGAATGAACCCCAAACCACCTACGTGGTTGGCAAGCATTCCACCTCTGTGCCACCGATACACTTTCCGTTAAAAGTGTAACGTTATTATAATTCTGAATTGAGACATGTAGACAGTCTGATTCGTTTCAGTCTAAGCTTCATCACAAAACAATATCATTAAGCTATTCATTGAACAATAAAGAGCTTTTAACAGCTGTTTCGAACTAGTTTAGGACTTTTCATCAATATGCATCATGAGTTTTCATCTAGAAAAAAATAAAACAACACAGTTATCCAGTGCTCCTTCGTTCTGCAATGGATCTCTAACTGATTTCATTTAGCGACAAACTTTACAGTGAAAAAAACTAATGGTATTACCAGGGTGGGTTTTGTCACCAACTGATATCATTTAGATAACTACTTGAAAATTGATTTGGCACTGGAAAGTTATTTGTGACTTCAAGATAATATGCACCCAAAAATTCCCTGGGACAAGGAACATTCTAAAATGTATTACTGAAGAACTCCAAATGATGACGAAACAACTAAGCAGTGTCCAGTAGTCTTCGATTTTTGCTAATTTTTACAGAAATTTTCAGGTGAATGTATATGCAACTATCCCCTACCAATATGTTCTAGTTTTAATTTTATATTACTATTTGCAAAGCACCCAATTACCCGGTATAGATATTTTTTTGTGTACAAGACTGTGATCCACTCTTATTGTGTGTGTGTGTGTGAGAGAGAGAGAGAGAGAGGAAGAGGGAAGTGATGACAATACCTTGTTGCATAGGCTGAAGCAGTCGAATTCACTGTCTAGAAATCGATCACTCAAGCCAATGCGCCACATCTCTCCACTGTTTATAAGCATAATGGACAATATATCAAATCAGATCATTCACATAACTCTTAGAGAAAACTGACCATACTCTTAAATAAATTAAAAAAAGTAATCTGAAGAGGATTCACAAGATGCTTAGTGAGGTAGATACGCTGAGAATCATTTTTTTTAAAAATTGTACTTAACAACTAGTGGTTTCTAAAGTGTTTAAGTAACCATATTTATTAGACTTTTAATTTCCTTTTGACAGTTTGTTTGTTACTGTGCCCCTTATAAGCACTTACACACACACACACACTAGCACAAACACACACCAGATCATTGTGAGGTTCATTTCTTCACAATGTAATTATACCTAAATAACACTGAAATGTAAAATAAAATTTAAGTGTTACGTAATCGTGCCTACTATAAGTTCATTCCTATTTTGAGCAGTCCACATTTGGGATTCATAAAAGTCTGTATGTTTGTATGGTGTATACAGGGGTCTGAAGTCTGATCTGATTTAACTGCACGTGGCACAATTCCATGTTCATTTTATCTTTAACACTTGGTAATGTGAATAATATTCATTTCACGGCCCCCATCCCCACTCACGCTTCTAAGCCTAAAAGAGGATAACTCCAACAATTAATTACAAATAATTAATTTTTCTTCTTATTTATGGTGGGATTATTTAAAATGGAGTTGTTGACTTTACAACAAATAGTGTTGCAGTTGTGTTCTCTTACTAAAGTTATTTACACAATTACAACAAACATTCTCAACTCAACTCACTTCACTCACTCATTCATCCAACCATCCATCCTATAAAAATTTTTTCTTCTATTTTTGTTGCATGAAGAAAAAAGATAAACAATTAAATAATTAATTACACAATCATAAGTGCCTCTTAAAAATGATTATAAATAGTAAAAATAAACAAACGAAAAATTACGCTCCCTTTTTTTGTTTGTTTTTGTTGTTGTTGTTGCCTAGTTACCATGGTCATGAGGGCATTTGTGTATAGTTGGTGTATGCATGTGACTGTATATGTGTGTATATATGTATAGATGAGGTTAACTACAGTCAAAATGAACACATAGGTACAAAGGAATGAATGTTACCCTTCATTTAGATTCAACTTTCTTCTTCCCATGGAGATAATTTGTGAAACGTGTATACTTACGTAATCGTTGTGCAACTTAAAGTTGAGTTTAATTACTGATTAATTATAGGGCAAAATATATATTGAAGTATATTGAAGTTTATCATAGTATCTATCCCTTAAGCCTATTTACAACTGAAGAACTCGTATCTAGGACGTTATATAGAACAAGTACTTGAAAATTTTAGTTCAACTTTAATTAGTCTAATATTAGTAAAATGGCTATAGGAATGGGGAAAAGTAGATAAGTGCCTTTTGTTAACCTAATCGATTTAAAGTTAACTACTATTAGAATGGAATCACAACTCAGTGGGAAAAGCATGAGAATCACTGAGTGAATCACTCAGGAATTCCCCATCGAAGATCATTCCGTTCAATGTTTCAAAGTGAGCGTTGATCTGTAAGAACATGGATTTGTGGTCTCCATCAGACTAACTTTCATTCTTTAACCCTTTGATAATAATAATTATTATACCTGTATTTCAATCGCTTACATTCCATGCTTTGAAGATTCAATAGCAATGGCATTTTTTTATACGGCCTGGGGTTGTCAATCTTCTCTCTTTTTTCAGTCTTAACACTGGATAGTAAACTAGATGAAATTTACGAGTCTGTCGGCCATGAATCGATTCCCTGACCATGTGTGTGTGTCTGTGTGTGTGGTTGTTCAGCATTCTAACACTGAACCACCCACCTACTGGTGAGAATTAACAACCTGAGTGTAAATGAGCTTACAATGACCTATTGTGTTACTAGCAAAAGTGAGGTTTACAAAGAATACAAAAAGATAATTGGTTGGAAGATTTTACCATGAGCTGACATCAGTAAGAGAACCATTGGAAAACTTGCACTACTGGAGTACTGGACAGCTGGTTCGTCCTAGTTTAGGACTCTTCAGTAGTAAGCACTCATCACAGGGGTTCGAATCCAGGACCTTCTGGTTGCAAGGCCAGAGAGCTCGTAGACCATTAAGCTACTGGGACCCGAACCAATGTCCAGCCCATCAATTCTAACTTCTGTCAATTCATCACATAACAGGACCACTCCCTAATATCTTCTTCGATGAGTTACTGCCTCACCTTCAACCCGCTGTATCCTACAGGTCACGGCTTCCCACCTGAGTTAACTTGCAGAGATAAGATTTGTTTGAAGTTTATCTACATTGAATTTTTGAAAATTAATCTGATGGGGTCCTCCAGGTAGTGAGTGAAGATAAATATGCGCCGATGACACTGGATGGTGATCACGCTGAAATCGCAGATTGACGTAAGTTAGAATTCATGAGTCACAAAGTCGGTTTCTAGTGTCCAAAATGGTCTACTAGCTTACCTCGTGACCGGAAGGTCCTGGGTACTGCCGATGAGTCCTATACTAGGACGAAACAACTGCCAAGTATATACTGATTTTCAATGGTTCTCTAAATGATATCAGTGTATAGTTAAACCTGAAATAAAATAACTGTTATGCTTACAATTTTACATTAGTAGTGTGAATATCTAACATTAATTGAACTGCTTTTCTTTTATACATATTACAGTTTCACGTTTAATGGGAGTAACTAATGCTGCAATGGCTGGTGGTTGTTATCCAGGACATTTAAGTCCTTCTGGTTTCAATGGAAATTATGCTTTATCAAATATCAATAATAATAACAATAACAATAATAATTCTAATATTTCTACTGGATCCAATGAATTCTTAAGTTCACATTTCTCGACAAGAACACGAAGTAACAGTCCAAGATCTTCAGCGATAGCAGCAGCAGCAGTAGTAGGCGGAGCAATATCCGCGTCATTACCGACTGGTACAAGTCCGTATAATAATAATAATAGTAATAGTAATCGATTTCCACGTGGACGATATCCGAATAATGCATCATGTAATTCACCAGTAAACACGATGCAACTGAATCGACGTATTGACTCATTAGATTATCAGAATTCACCAATGAGCACATTTCATTTAAATAATAATAATCCTAATAATAATAGTAATAATAATAACAATAATAATATAAATAATACTCCTAATAATAATACTGCTGCAATGTTAGCCTATGAGAAGCATCAGAAGGCTGTAGCTGTAGCCGCTGCATTAAACTCACATCCATTCAATCCTGCAATGATGAATTCACACTCTTATCAGCAACATCAACATCAGCATCATCAACATCATTTACAACAAATTCAATCTCCTCAAACTGGATGTGGGGGAAACAGTAACAATGGTGGTGGTGGTGGTGGCGTCTCAATGGCAGCAGCTGCTGCCGCTGCCGCCGCAGCTATGCATTCGCTGCATAATGTTGCTGCAGCTGCCGCTGGGCATACAACAACAAGTGGTGTACATCATACACCGACAAACACTTTTCGTGGTTTATCACAACGTCGAAAAAGACGAGTATTGTTTACACAAGCTCAAGTCTATGAATTGGAGAGGCGTTTTAAACAGCAGAAATATTTGTCTGCACCAGAAAGGGAACATCTTTCACAGTTGATTAATTTAACGCCTACACAGGTAAGATAAATACCATTTGAATTTTCATATTGTTTTTGCTTTCTTAAGAGTAATTGAAATTAGTTAATTGGTTGTATATTCTGTAGTAGTCCGGGGAGAGGGCTGTCGAGTGGTTGCGCCACAGGATGATCTTGCATGCCAGTCTCGTCTCGTAAGAGGCAGGGATGGTTGTGTTTTGGTTCTTCTGAAAACCAATACCCAGTCAATGGGTGTATCACTGTGTGAGTGTGCGTCGGTAGCACAGCGGTTAGGACGCTCGTCGAGCATGCACATGGTCCGGGGTTCGATTCCCGGCCACCGACGCACTCCTTTACCTCGTTAAACCAGAAAAAATGCTGGTAAAGAGGAAAGGTTGGGCATGAGGCTCGCTAGCAACTCCATCCTGTAAAAATGAACACTGCTACTGGAACTTCAAGCCATTAGCTTGAAGCCTTATGTTCCACTGGGAACGTGAAGGAAAAAATATTTTGTGGAATGTTTATTTCGGTAAGAATGCATTTAATTATTATTATTATCATGATCCCAATGGAGCATAGGGCCTCAACACCATACCAATGCTTCACTTTTTTTGTCTGCCTTCTCCTCTAGATGGCTCCACGATCGCCCTTAAGCTCTCTCCTCCTCCTCCTCCTCCTTAGACAACCATGTCACCCTCGAATACACAAGTGGAACTACTTATTTCTCACTAGGGTTCCACTCAAGTGCCCATTTCTTATGTGATATCACTCAGCGGTCTCCTCGAAGTGTGTTTAATCCATTTTCTTTGGCATATTTACTGAGTAACAGGTTCTTAGTTGGCTTCTTGACAAAGTCGCTTGTTGTTATTACTTCCTGGCGAGCTATCTGATCATCGATATGGAGAGAAGACAGTTGCTGATAAAAATCTGCCGTTTCTTATTAGGAATGCTTTCCGTGATTCGTCAGGTCTCTGAAATGTTAACACTGAGTGCTGCAGATTTCTACAGTGATTTCAGATTAGTGAAGACTTGTCTTGAGGATATGATTAATTTCACATCTGACTCCGACAAGGATAAATGTAACCGAGAAACCAACAGATACTAAGATATACCGATCCTGGTTTGAAGACTCTTCATTAGTGCTTACTCGTGGTCTAGCCAGCGATCAACGTAAGAATCATCTGGCTTTAGGTGAATACTTCATAATTTCACTAGTGGATATCACTCACGATATCACATAGTCTTCATAAAATATCGCCGATGTAAATATATATATATATATATATATATATATATATATATGAGCATACTAGTTGCTGGGTTATTCTTTAAACAAATGAAATATTTTACACAAATTTACAGATTTATTGATTCCTTTTATCACTTTCTATGCTCAGTAAAAATGTATGAAACTAGTTGTATCAACAAGTTGAAACATGAAGTGATTCACATCGAAATGATGGTTGCTTTGTTTATATTTGGTTGGATTCTGTAAAAATGTCAGTCAATTATAATTTAAAAGGAAATATTTCTGTGCACACATCTATCCAGATTAGATAGATTGTGATGATCGAGTCAGCAAAAGTAACTTTATTTAGTGGATTTTAAAAAAAACGAATATCTCAAAAGTATGTCCATCGTATGCTACCATCCAGTTTTGGGATTAAAGTTGTCCAATAGCAGTATTGAGGTGGTGCTCTAAATTGAATACTTCAATTTAGATATGAATTACTACTTAATCTGAAATTTTCTGCTGTCATTTAAGAGATGCGTTTACTGTATGCTGCCGGTGTTAAACACCTAAGTTCTTATAAGAATTTAATCAAAGATACATTATAGTGTAACTCCATATACGTTAAAAATATGAAAAAGGTCGGGTGGGAGGACATATACTCGCCGAAGACATTGGCTAGGGGTCGCGCTATGTCGTGAATTGGCAGAAGTTAGAATTCATGGCTGGCCATTGGGTCGAGTCTCAGTGGCCTAATGATATACGAGCTAGCTCGCCTTGTAACCAGAAAGTCCCGGGTTTGAATCCCCGTGGGTGCGTACTACTGAAGAGTCCCAAACTAGAACGAAACAGCTGTCCAGTACTCTGTCCAGGTCTTCCAGTCGTTCTTTAACTAATGTCAGCTCATAATGAAATCATGTAACCAATTAAATCCCTACAAACCAACACATGAATAAAAAGGAAGGAAGTTGTCCATTCCTACTGTGACAGTAGAAGACGACCGAGGACTTATTGAGGGAATGTTTATTTGGAATTTGGTATCTCTATACAGCGAAATTGTGTACTTCTCATCCTAAAATAGTCATTTGCAAAGATGATCTTCCGTGTTGTGCTACGTCTGCCCTTCGTATTGTCTTCTTTTCGTATCCGCATGTTTTACTGCAACGCTGGTTCATTTTCGAATGTTTATCTACGCAATTCGCTGTTTTTTTGTGTTGATGAATGTCACTTTATATACTACTGATAAATCTTATCAGTAGCACACTTCACACTACCTGTTCACTGTCATGCATAATATGGTATCAGTTCACTAAAGTTGTGTTTTCTTCATAGGATAAAAATGAATGTTAGTTTTGACAAGTCAGCTTTGAACTGTAACACTAGGATGCTCCAAGTTAGCATGCTCTATTATCGAATACTAAAATGTCTATAGAAGAGGAAATTAGAAATACAGACTATTGAATTTCAGGTCAGTAGTGAAATAGTAGAAGTGATAGCTAAGTTTACCAAAACACGTTTTAAATGCTAGGTTATCAGGTCTAAAAATCCTGAGGAAGTGGTTATCAATCACTGGAATAACACTGATAATAATGACTCATCTAAAAGCCTAGTTTGTGTAAGGATTTGAATCTCACTCATTTCGGTAGAGCTCATTAACAAAGTACTCGGTCAGATTCAGCTAGAACAGTCAAATCGATTGAAACCACCCAAATCCGATTGATCAAATCTCATCATTTTGGTTACAAGATTTCATCATGTGCTGGCACCGGTTAGAGAACCATGGAAAACCTGAACTGCTGGAGTACTGGAGAGCTGTTTCGTCCTAGCTTGGGACTCTTCATCGGGGAGCACCCACCATAGGTGGTCTAACCTAGGACCTTCTGGTTACAAGGTGAGCTCGTAGACCGTCAGGCCACTCGGACCCAATGCAATATCCAGCCCATGAATTCTAACTTCTACCAATTCACGATATATCGCGACCGCTGGCCAATGTCTTCGATGAGTATTTGTCATGGTGAAATCCTGTAGCCAATTAGTCAAGTCCCAACAAACAAATACTTGAATCTCATCATTTTCTTTGGCATAGGAATAGTGTCTTCGTAAAAACCGTCAGTAAAAGAGTGACTTTTACTTTCTCTCTCCCCCTCTCTCAAACACACACATACACACATACAGAAACCCATACGTACGCATACACAAACTTCAGAGAAAAATAAGAACTAGATTTCTAAAATCTAACCGACATGAAGACATTTTGTAGCACTGACAGATAAACTTCACGAAGGAATGTATACGCTGGAACAAAGTTTACGAGGTTAATTATTTTCAATAAAGTCAATGAATTAAAGATAGAAACAGCATAAGAAATTTTTATAAATGATTATCTTCCTCAAATGAATCCACATCAGGATAATATTTTAACTATTTTTATTTTCATCTACACAAATATAGGTTAAAATATGGTTTCAAAATCACCGTTACAAGTGTAAACGTGCTCAAAAAGATAAAGAAGCCTCATCAATGAGTGATCATCATTCAACACCGAATACAATGGATCTGCGCAATGAGACAATGAATGCAAATCATTTATCTGTGAATGACAGGACAGGAATGAATCGTCGATCAGTAAACGATCTATTAGACAATCCTTTATTATCTTCATCATCAATAAATACAACAAATTCTTTAAATCATAGAAAACTTGGTTTAAATTTAACTGATCAACATTCAGTGAATTCTGATATATCAAATTGTTCAGAATCTTCATCAGTTGAAGAGTATCATGATGATGGTCATTCTCATTTAATGCATACAATTGATGGTGGAAAAATAAGACTGCGTAGTCCAGATTTTCGTATAAAAGCACAAGCATGCAACAGAAGTAGTGCTAATACTAACAATAACAATAATACTAATAGCTATGATTGTATCCCATCAAGTCTACGTTGTAATGATAGGAATGAATTAGATTTAATCAAAAATGCTAATCTTATGACACAACAACAACAGCAACAAAATCAACCGCATAATCAGTCGACAATTGATACACCTTTTGATTTTTTCGGTTATAATGATTTACTACTAAATACTACTAATAATTATGCATTAAAACAAAGTGGTCGTTCAATGTTCAATTATCCAACAAATCAATTGTCATCAACATCTATACCTGTACCACCAAATTTTCAGGCATCATATGAAAATGAACGAAATGAAAGTATATCACCTAAATCTAAAATATCAGAATTAACTAATCATCAAATGACAACAGGAAATTATGCTAATAATCCCTTTTCAAATTATCCATTTGTACCAAATTCAAATTATTATACAAATTATAATACATCACCAACATATTTACAGAATTTCTTAACTGGAAATGATCGTAATAATATAAACGCTACTAGTCCTTCTATTATGGATAATAACAATAATAATAACCAAAACAGTGCAAGTCCAACTGAATCGAACTTAAATGAAATAAATAAATCATTGAATTTAACCATGGCAACGGCGGCAACAACAACTATAACAACGACAATGCCAACAACTATATCATCACCATTATCTTCATCATCATCATATTTCACACCAAGCCAATTAGCAGCTGCAGCTTCTTTATTAAATTCCAGATCAGATTTATGTAAAACATCGTCATCAACAGCATCATCGTTATTTCAGTCAACACGTTCAACAACACCAAGTAATGTAAAAAATTATTCACTCACAAATACACTCTCTGATGTTAACAATATTACACTGAATACTGATCAGTTGATGAGTGAACAACAGAAATTCTGTATGAAAAGTATAAAACATGAATCAGTTCTGGACAATCAATCAGAGGAGCTGGTTAAGTCTGAAGATTGTACCCCGTATAAATCGGTGATATCTACAGACGACGGAGGTAACAATAATAGATTCACAGATTTCACGTCATTGATTGCAGGAACTTCATCAAGAATATAAATGAAGACTAGACAATAAATAGCACACTGTTGAACAGCAATTCAACTCACTGCAAATATAATTGATTACATTTGAAGTACTGGAAGTCAATTCTATGAATACTTCCAAATGTAATGTAATCATAAGTGATAGTTTCTAGTTGTCATATGAAGAGATAGTAAAACAATTGTAGTTACATTTCCGTCTGCTAAATATTTGTTCATCAATGACTACTTATCAGTTCGCCTTTAAACATATACAATCATTCAAACAAAATATTAGTATTTTCCCCGAAGACCAAAAAACAAATGGAAAGTTAAAACAAAATATTTCACTTAAAGTTTTTCAAAAAACACTAACAACACAGCAGTAACACTGTTAAACATTTTTTTGTTTTTAATTGTTATTATAATTAAGTATTATTATTATTATTAATTTAATGATTAATAACTGTCTTTTGTTATTTACATAACATGAATAGTAATGATGACGAAAGAAGCGAACATCTAGGTAATATGGTATACGTGTAGTCTGGTTTTAGTTGGGTAAAGGCGGGAAAACGATATACATACATGAACAGTTCTTGAATGTAAAGTTTTCAGTGCGTCACATAATTTCACAACACTATTAGACTCGATTTGGTATGTCCGCGGCACAGCGGTTAAGACGCTCGTCGACCATGCATATGGTCCGGGGTTCGATCCCCGGCCACCGACGCACTCATTTACCTCGCTAAGCCAGAAATAATGCTGGTAAAGAGGAAAGGTTGGGCATGAGGCTCGCTAGCAACTTCATCCTGTAAAAATAAACACTGCTACAGAAATTTAAAGCCACTAACTTGAGGCCCTATGTTCCACTGGGAAAGTGAAGGGAAAAAAATTAGACTCGATTTGATTACTGAACAAATACTTTGTGTTTATAAAAGATAGTCACTAATTATTCTCTCTAGCATCTTATATACACATATATCCATGTTAACGAAATCTGACTTTGGATAAAGAAGGTTCGTGTGGCATTTGGCAACTTATTCCATCTTTGATACAGACAGGATATCCGATTGTCGATCAAAGAATGTGAAAGTGAAATGACACAGCAATTCTCTCTGTTCTCCTTTATGACTGTGAAACAGACATTGAAAGTGGAAGACATGAAATGGCTAGCTGTTTAATGATATTAGATGGTTGGAGGCAATCGGTACAAAGCCTTGTGCCACCAAGGTTTCGTATGAATACGCGTCACCCAGTGATGTAGTCAGAAACGTTACCACTGAGCTATTAGGGATCACCATTAACAGTCTGCACCAAAGAGAGGACTAGACACGCCACACTGGTTACTACTGTCTAATCAAAGTATCCAATAAATTCCTACAAGGGGTTAATCGCGAGCCTGAATAGTTCAGTGGTAACGTCTCTGACAACAGCATTGGGTGACGCGGGTTCGAAACTCAGAAGGGACATGAGTTCTTTCAAGTTTGTAGATACGCACTGCTGACTGGTGAGTGCCAACTAGCACGAAACCCAGGTGATACAAAGCTTTGTGCCGATTGCCTCCAACCATCTAATTTCATCAAATCAATGTACACCATGATGGCGAGCTACTTAGAATGAAGGCTACATTGCAAACCTAACTGATAGAATTCAGTCTTCAGCAAAGAAAGGACTAGATATATCACACTAGTGTTCCTCAAGTGGAACCCGAAAGGGGAACAAATAGTTGGATATGAGTCCGAGAGTGACATTGAGAAGTTTACATGAGGAGTGAATGAGGCCGTATAGGCAATTGTGTGGTGAGCCAAAGAAAACTTCAGAGAACAGTGTGAAATAGAGATGTACTCATGAAGTTGTTTGTTCTGTCCTGATTCAACCGAATAATAAAATAATAATAAATAATTAAGTCATGGAAGATAAAAGAATTGTTACTGAACAAAAAATATTCTCTTCGATAACCCAATCTTCATCAAGTTCTACAGTTAAATATAAATAATAACGAATGAATTAGTGTTATTTACAACATTAATGTTGTTTAAATAACATCGAATCAATAATAATAATATCAATGGATCACACTTTGATAGCATCAAGATAACAATACACTGAATATCAGAAAAAATTAAGAAAAATAATGATATGAATTCATGAATTTATAGTCTCCGCTGAAAGCTGACCAGAGCAATAGTGGTGGCTGAACTTGCTTCTACTACACACAGAGTACTAGTAGTTTCAGGTGAATCATGATAGCCTTAGCTGTTTGGAGTATGCGGTACTTCGATGTTTTTGGCAATTTGCTTGGTACCCGATAGATGATGGAGAAAAACTCTTCAATATTAGCTTTCTGGCCAGTTTGGACTACGTGTTCTAATATTGTACTGTTGGTGCTTCTCACTACACACCAATGGTAGATGTTTGCGAACACGAAAAATCAAGTTCCTATAGCAGTAACGAATATGGTCCACTCCGCAGGCGCAGTTGAATTAGTAGACACAATTAGAAGTGGCTAGTCTAGGTACTTCATCTTTCAGTCAAGGAATTACCATTTGTCGTGTAGAAAATACTACTTGTAATTTGCCAACATTAAAAGTTCTTTGAACTGATTTCCTTAACTTCTGCATAATTACTTCGCTAGGTATGTCGCTATTGATATGCAGTCGTATATAAAGAAGCTTCTTGTTTACGGATAGTGAATAGTCCTTTTCAACTTTCCTGATGAATTTGTCTGTAACATCACTTTCAGAGAGTTCCAGTCATATTGCAGTCAAGGTTTCCCGTATGATACCACTTACTGTCTCCGACTTTGCGCTGATATCTACAGTGAAGGTATCTTTTATAGTTTCATCTCTCAGTATCTGAGTGTTGAACTTGAATTATGATCTTTGTTCAGCCGTTTTGAAGTCTTTCAGCTAGGCTTTTAAAGTTCCCTGAACTAGATGGTGGTATGAGCCCACATCTGTTCCCCTTCTCGACTTTGTGTCCAGCACGCTCCGTCTCCACTTCCCTGAACAGTTTCAAGACGAAACCGATGTAGTTTTGGTGTCTGTCAGGCGAAACTCATTTTGCTTTGGGTATATTCTTGTGCTTGTACACGCTGCCTCTGATCACCAAATCACTGAGTAAACAATTAGTAATAAATTACGGATGAAATTTTACCGTGAACAGTCATAAGGACCATAAAAATACAAGAGGAGGAAAATTAAGTGTATTTAAAATAAGATGTTTAGTTGTTATAAGCCTTCGGCAATAATTTCAATAAGTAACCGTGATGGAAATATACTTTAGACTTTAAATTACATAATGAAGATCTCAGGACAGGTTAAAGGTGTACTCCACTTGATGTATGTGTATATTTTCAACTGCTATAAAGTGGTTTATACGGATTCAGTGTAGTCTCATGCAAAATAAATTCACGTTTCTGTAAACTAAGAACTCTGAATGTTGTTTTTAGAAAACTATTAGAATATTCATACAAAATTAATACTGATAAATATAACATGAACGGTAGCCTCTTTAAGCATCTCGAAACACCAGTGTAGAGAATTATTTTCATTATTTTTTTCGAATGTGTCTATTAGAGTGAAACTGGTGTTCTATTCACCTAATACAAATCAAACGAATCTGCCTGAACATAAATGCTGGCATTACTTTAACATAGTACTAAAAAGTCGCACTGAATGGTATTCACAAGTTGGTATACGTTGATAAATATGACCTATGGAATTCTATTTCATTTGTTGAAGAACGGTATAATCGATGTAGAAGATGACACTTCTGAACATGAATTTACATAGGAGTAATGAGCCGACTCCTCCCAAGAGGTGTAGATTATATTGAGACAGTGATTCATGGCATCTTGATTCTTATTGCTTCTCAAGTTGCTGTCATTACATGAGAAAGCACCTTGGCTTTTTTCATTGTTTATGATGTATTATATAATCCTTTTGCGTTTCGAGTGGAGTATGGGGCTTTAGAGTTGAGCTTTGAAGTTTTAGTAGCAGTGGTGATTATTCTTTTTATGGAGTAGGTTTGATGGCCTCATGCCCAACATCCCTTCTTTACCGGGCTTACTACTGACCGAAGGTTGATTTCCGGAAGACATGCGTAGTTTGGCAGTATTATTCTAATGAACTACCAACGTACATGGCTTTTTTATTTGGGGTGTTTTAAAAGAAGAGAAATGAGTACTAATAAGGATCCACATAGTCAATCATTTTCTAAGAGAGAGCCGATTTGCAACAGTAACAGGTGATCAGTGAGACATGGTGTTCATTCAGCATTACCCTGAAATCCTGACACTCGTGTTCTAATTCATCATCCCTTTAAAATTATCAATCTTGGTACAATATTTCAATAATAGTTTGTTGTTTTACTTCATTTCTTGCATGAGGGCTGAGATACTGCCCGGGCGCCCAGACCGAAGCAGGTGGTTTTATTAAGGGACCATCCCCCGAGCCTTTGACTTGGAGTCTAATCCGCAAGGCAGCGGAGCAGCGTCAGGAGCTGCATTCCCATGGTTGCCGATGACCCATATGGGTTCATACGCCATTAGATCCGATTGGATACTGGAGCCCATGTACCCCATGGTAACTGCTTTTAGTTTAACCGCTATCCAGAAAACCTTCCTGACATGGTAGGACCTGCAGGGACAGAGTCCCAGTCAGTTTAGCTTGTTGGGTCATTGTGGTATTCAAGCCCGACCACCACGGCAAGGTAGCAGTTATCGGCCGGGGCTATCAATTATCAATCAGTTGTATTCTCATGCATTTGGCAGCGAGCCACACCCACTGTGTGAAGACCGGTGAAATTACATAGCAGATTAAACATTGATATTTGCTTGGAAGTCCAGTGATTAGGCCGACTGGCTACAGGTGGACTTCACCCTAAATGCATCTGTGATAAAATCATTAAAACATAGAACTGTGAATGTATTGTTCTGAGGTTGATGATTATTGTGACACTTTAGATTTAAATATAGCATTCAGTAACTCATTTGTGTATATCACCTAATCTTACAGATGCTCAGCTTCAGGTTGAATAATATAATGATAAGGTCTCTGATGTTTTCAAGGACTGAAGTAGGTCCAAATGTCGGAGGGGAAACGAAGTTCCACCACGTTTATGAAGAGTTTTTATGTTGAGTGTGTTGAGCATGTTCCAAACCTACATCATCCGCTATCTCACTCTTAACATCTGGCATAGAAACATCGATTGGATAAAAAAATCCGGGATTACTTAACACATCAGATTCATTAACTTGGACAAAAGACTTCAAGATACATCATATGAAGAATTCTAGTAAATCAGAAACAGTCAGACTAACAATTTTCACATGTTCGATAATCTTCACAGAAATGCAGATCCACATGACTCCACTTCAGAGTCATAA